AAAAAAAAAAAAAAAGACCGTACCCTTTAATGTAATGATATTTACTTTGAATTTATATTAGTTCACACAAACACTCCATCCATGCTTTTGTTCCAGCCCTCCGGTCCAGTTTAAGAACCCATTGTGGCCCTCAAGTCAAAAAGTTTGCCCACCCCTGCTCTAGAGGCACATAGCAGGTGTGAGACAAGGCTGCAGAGATGGGCCAAGGCCAGTCCCCAGACTTTGTAGGCCAGGTGAGGATATCCCTCTTTGGCTTAAAAGCTGTTGGAAGCTATTTAAGGGCCACTCACTGAAAAGATATGAACAGATCTGCATTCCAAAGATCACGTTGGCTGCTGTGTAGCCAGCCCCTGCCAGGTGCTGAGTCAGGACTGGGCTGGGAGGGTCTTGTCTGCAGGACTTCCCTCTCCATGAGACTCTCCCACACATAGGCTCAAGCCAGCACAGCAGCCTATGTCCTTTACCTCCACACTAGGCTCCTGACATTTATTTTTTAAACATATTTTTATTGATTTCAGAGAGGAAGAGAGAGGGAGAGATAGAAACATCAATGATGAGAATCATCGATCAGCTGCCTCCTGCACTCCCCCTACCGGGGATCCAGCCTGCAACATGGGCATGTGCCCTTAACTGGAATCAAATAGGCTCCTACAATTTATATCTGGCCTTCTCGGTCCCTCTTACCAGGCACAAGAAGTCCTGCCATCTTGCATTACTCAATTAGTCATCCTTTAATCTATCAGTCAGTTAATGTAGTGGGTTGAATTGTGCCCCCTCCCCAAAATATATGTCTACATCCTAATCCCCAAAACTTGTGAATGTGACCTTATTGGGGGCAGGGGGGAGTAGGTCTTTATGAATGTAATTAAGTTAAGGATCTCAAGATGAAGAGATCATTCTGGATTATCTGGGTTATGACAAATGTCCTTATAAGGGTGAGGCTGCCCTAGGTGGTTTGGCTCAGTGGATAGAGCATTGACCTGCAGACTGAAGGGGTTTGATTCCAGTCAAGGGCATATGCCCGGGTTGCAGCCTCAATCCCCAGTAGGGGTATGCAGGAGGCAGCCAATTAATGATTCTCTCTTATAATTGATGTTTCTATCTCTTTCTCCCTCTCTCTTCCTCTCTGAAATCAATAAAAATATATTAAAAAAAATAAGGGTGAGGCAGAGGGAGATTTGAAATGGACAGAAAAGGAAAAAGTAATGTGACCATGGAGATGGAGATAAAAGTGATGTGGCTACAAGCCAAGGAATGTCAACAGTTGCCAGGAGCTGGAAGTCAAGGAACAGACTGTCCCCTTGAGTGCAGCTCTACTGACACCTTGATTTCCACCCAGTGATCTGATTTTGAACTTCTGGTCTCCAGACTACAAGAGAGTACATTTCTGTCTGTTGTAAGCCCCCGATTTGTGGTAATTGGTTAGAGCAGCCATAGGAAATGAATACAGTTGGGCACTTACTCAGTTGTTCCTGTCCGATGAGCTTTACTGGCTCCTTCAGGGGACCTCTAAGTGATGGAATACCCCACGCTCAGTTCTCAGACCTCTTCTTTGTCTATTCTCTCTCCCTATGTGATCTCACCCATTCATTTGACCTTAAAATGTCATTTATTGCTCTAACCAGGTTTGCTCAGTGGATAGAGCATTGGCCTGCAAATTGAAGGGTCTTGGGTTTGATTCCAGTCGGGGCACATGCCCAGGTTGCGGGCTTGATCCCCATAGGGAGCATGTAAGAGGCAGCCAATCAATGATTCTCTCTCATCACTGATGTTTCTCTCTCTCTCTCCTTCTCCATTCCTTTCTGAAATCAATAAAAAAAAATGCTTAAATGCCACTTATTTGCTAACTAGAGACTCGGTGCATGAAATTTGTGCATTGGGGGAGGTGTCCCTCAACTCAGCCTGCACCCTCTCCAATCTGGGACCCCTCGAGGGCCTAAACCGGCAGTCAGACATCCCTCTCACAATCCAGGACTGCTGACTCCCAACTGCTCACCTACCTGCCAGCCTGATCACCCCCTAACCACTCCCCTGCCAGTCCGATTGCCCCCAACTGCCCTTCCCTGCCGGCCTGGTCGCCCCCAACTGCCCTCCCCTGCTGGCCATCTTGTGGTGGCCATCTTTGGGGGTGGCCATCTTTGACCACATGGGGGCGGCCATCTTTATGTGAGGGTGTGATGGTCAATTTACATATTACCCCTTTATTATATAGGATACCTTCCAAATTTTGCCTCCCTCCAGACTCTTCTCATAGAGCCTAGCCATCATCACAGGTAGATGGAAAGAAGCCTTTGTTCCACACCCACACCACCCACAAATCTTCCTGGCCAGGCACCCCCAGCCACTCCGAGCTCAAGTTGGAAATGTGATAGCCATCCTAGATTTCTCCATTTCCCTCATGCCTTATATACAACTGCTAGTGAGTTTTGTTGTGTACGTCTCAAAATATTTCTTAAATCTCTCCACTTCATTTCCACCGCCACCACAGCCACAGTCTCTCTCAGATGACTGAGACATTCTCCTAATGACCCCCAACTTCTGCTCTTACCCACCACAGTCCCTTCTCATGGCAGCCAGAGTTTAAAAAATTAGATCAGCCCTGGCCGGTTTGGCTCACTGGATACAGCATCGGCCTGGGGAATGGAGGGTCCCGGGTTCGATTCCGGTCAAGGGCATGTACCTTGGTTGCGGGCACATCCCCAGTGGGGAGTGTGCAGGAGGTGGCTGATCGATGCTTCTCACTCATTGATGTTTCTAACTCTCTATACCTCTCCCTTCCTCTCTGCAAAAAATCAATAAAATATATTTTAATAAGAAAAAAAATTAGATCACATTTCAGTTTTTTGAACAACTTTATTGAGGTATAGTTGACACACTAAAGTGTATAATTAAATAAGTTTTGGCATATGTATACACCTGTGAAATCATCAGTTCAAGAAAAATAAGGAACATATCTATCACCCCAAACCATTTCCTCATGCTCCTGTGAAATCCAACCCTCCCTCCCAACCTCTCATCCCCAGGCAACCACTGATCGGCTTTCTGTCACTATAGACTAGTTTGCATTTCCAGAACTTTATATAAATAGAGAATATAGTTTGTACTCTTTTATGTGGCTTAATAATTTTGAGATTCATCCATGTTATTCACTCTATCAATAATTAATTTATTGTATTGCTGAGTAGTATTCCATTGTATGGATGTACCACAATTTGTTTAACCATTCACCTGATGATGGACAGTTGTTTCCAGTTTATAGCTATTATATGTAAAGATTTATATACTGTAAGTCTTCCTGTATAGGTGTTT